CATCTGGATGCATAATTTAAATGGGACAGAACAAACCAATCTTCAAGATAATTGAAAACAGAGCATTTAGTTTTAACTTAAGCAATTACATTTTCATTTTTGTTTTCAATTCAAAATTTAACATGGCATTTAAGGTAGTAAGATAATTGGAAGCATAGCATTCTTGCAGGGTGTTCCACAGAAAGAGTTCTTCATTTGTTAAGGTGATGGAACAAATAACCCTTTACTGGAAGTCACTGTTCTTGAATAGGGGCATCATAGATTAAGAAAAAAACCTTAAGTTGCCAGGTACGGGTATCTGTAGAATATATCTTTCCTTTCTTCCAGTGGTTTGTATGCTTTGCTTAGATGCCTGCGTGGTCATCTGCTCCCATCTATTCATGTGTCTCTTCAGCTTGTGTACTTTCTCTGCACAAAGGCTTGTCATTGTTCTTAGGTTTTTGTCAGTAAGTTCATCTGCTTTTTGCTAAGCTAGAAAATCTTCTTAGGGTTACATTGGTTTGATGTGGCTTTGGTCTCTGTTTTACAGGAATAGAAATAAGAAATAGCAACAAAGTTGATCAAAAAATATGGAAGGGTTTCCACATGAGTTATAAAATTGTAGTAGGTTCAAGAAGGACATAGAGATGGGCTTATTTATTTTTATGCAGTGTATAATTAAACTTCGGAGTTTGTGAATTTTTGCCATGTACAACTTTGTGACACAAGATCAAAAGGTACTTGGAGACATTTTATAATTGATTATCATGGATGGCTTTTTCTTCCATAGGAAAAGATATACTACATAGCTACTGGAACTGAGCACAAACTTTTTGTGGGAACAGGAATAGCAAAGCATCACTCTCATGCTGCTTAGCTACTGGCCATTGTCAGAGGTGAGATGTTGATTCAGGTGGATCTGTGGTCTAGTCTAGGATGGCTATTTTTATGTTATTCCTCCTTGCTAGGCCGGAATCAGTCACAGGCTGTCTCATAAGCTGGCTGGCAATGCTCTGCTTCTCAGCTCTGAAACATGAACTGTTGGCCCCCACCACTTCAAGAAACCAAGCGATATCCTGCAAACTCTTATTTTAATCAACTTAGCAGTTCAGTTGCATTATTTCATGTGCTCCTGGCAAAAGTATTTGATTTTCCTGTCCCTTCCTCCCCTATCCCCTGAAGACACTGAGATTGAGAGATAAGAAGAAATAAATACTTAGCCCTGTATATCAATGGTTGGGGGGGTATATGTTGTTCAGTGCTAGTTAGGTAAGCAGCAGCAAGGATGCCTCTGTTAAAAACTTAGTTCTCTGCCTCTGTCTTCTAGGATCTTTGACCCAGGTACGGCCCTGAAAAGGTGCTGCTTGCAAACAACCATTTTGCAGAGCTAGAAGAGGAGGAGGAAATGGGTCTGTCTTTCAGTATGGAAAACACAAACTGCAAGTCCCCACCTCTGTACAGTGGCAGTATCATACCCTGGCTGGGGATTAAGGCCAATTTCTGTGGCAGTGTCTCAGGGTAAGGAGTTGTGTTTTTTTTCTCATGGGAATCATGGTTAGGCCTCCAGCAAGGCTTATGAGGTTCTAAAAGGTGTGTAGTATTAATTATGAATCCAGGGCCTGGGAAAGAAAATGGACATTTAAGGATGTCTGAGGACTCGGACAAAAAGTGAAACTATTGCTTATACAACCACCACAGGGAAATAGAGGGCTCGCATTCTTGTTGTCACACATGGGTGTGTGGTCTGGCAAGCCAGCCAAAGCACGTCCATGTGCCTTGTCTGGCTCAGAGCACTGGCTGCAAGTGCCTGGTGGCTTCATCACAGTTTGTTCTCCTGGGTTTTGCAAACGAGCTGCTGACACTCTCACCTACTCTGCTCTGGGAGAAGTTATTTCAGTTTGCACTTAAGCAGCTTTCTGCGTCTGTGTGGTCTTTTAGTTGAGACATGCTGCTGCAGTGACAGTTAACATTGTAACGTGGGTGCTCCAAACAGGGATTGGAATTTTAGTGTTGCTTTCAAATGCTTTCCTTCACCTTATGTGCCAATTCCTGATACTTGCATCCCAACACCCTATTCTGTCTCTTCTTCCACCTAGAACTTCTTTCTGTACACATGGTTATTGAAACTATGCTGCAATCATTGCTTATATTGAAAGTGTTTCTCATAAAATATGTCTTCTGCACTGTGACAGTTAAACATATGTGAGGGCATTGCAGTTTACTAGCATTCTATTTATGTACCTTAGGCTGTAGAGTGTGTGTGTGTGTATATTATATAGTGTGTGTTTGTGCGTGTTATATTTAGCAAATACATTATGTTTTATATATACATGTATACTATACACAGTTACATATAGTCCTGTACTGTGTATATAGTGTATACTACAGCTAGTACTATATGTGTATAGCATATATGAGCATATATAAAACCTAATATATTTGTACTATATGCACTTCCTATGATCAACTGCTTAACTGTTATCCTGGTCCCTATTTTTGTCTTGTGGTAGACAAATGTTTGTGGGTATAGTTATGTAAATGAGAATAATTGTTTGATAAAAGCAGGTTGAGTCCACATCTCTGACATGCTCTGAAAGATCTAGCAGCATCTTCTGGTTCTAGTCCTAGAAGTTTCTTGGCTGCAACACATATCCAGCTAACTCTCATCTTCAGGCTTAGTTGCATCAAAAGGCCTTTCCTTCCAGCAAAGGAGAGAAAAGCATCCGGTGGGGATTAACATCTTAAAAATGGAGATAAACCGAAGGGTTTTTCTGTTGTGGGTTTTTTTCCCTA